GGGGGGGGGGGGGGGGGGGGGGGGGAAGGGGGGGGGGGGGGGGGGGGGGGCGAGCTTGTTGGTGGTGGGCGCCGCGAGGGCCAGGGGGGAGAGGAAGAAGAAGAGGAGGGAGGTGAGCTGCATTGTGGTGGTTGGAGGGAGAGTTGAAGAAGAGGGTCTTAGTTGGAGAAGGTTGGAACGGGGGTTGTGGGCTTGGGAGTTGGTTGAGTGGGCTGGTTAAGTTTGTAGGTTATGTTGGTTGAGGCTTTGTTTGTCAGGCTGGTGATTGCTGCGGTGGTGAGGAGAGTGATGGGGAGTTCGAGGTTCAACCGGCGGATATCACCCCCCCTTATATACACGGACAGGCCGTGATCATGGCATCGTGTCTCCTCACTTCACTGCTACCTACCTACCTACTCTGGCAGATGCTCTATTTCCAGCAATATCCCGTTGGAGACTAGCCAGGCCACACGAGATGACATGGCGGGCACAGCTCGCAGCAACGAAGTCCCAACAGCCTAGGGCAGTGCCTGGCCTCACGAGGCATGTCGGCGGCCGTTCCATGGCCTCGTCAGCCTTGCGTGGTGTCTGGCCAGGCGAGGCAATTGGCCGCCCGGACAGCCAGACTCGGTCAGGCGAGTTCACGACTCGCGTGGCTATCGTGGAGGCTTGCGGGGGCGGAGAGCAATTACCCACGGCCCTTTCGGCGCGCGGCAGCGCAATATGCATGGGCCAGGCTGGTGGATGGGGGCAATATGCGGGCCGACTGCTGGACCGCGCCGCACGCCGGCTGGAGTTGACAGCGGGGAGAGGCGGAGCAGATGGTGGCAGCATCCTTCACTGTGGAGGTGGAGGTGGAGGTCAAGAGTCAAGACTAATCCGATGGTGAGCCTTGCGGAGCAGCGTCGGGATCAGCTCTGTTCGGTTTCTATTCTTTATGTTGAGCAGAGCCACTATCCTCTTCGTCAGCTCAGCAGTACGAGGGTCACGATGAGAGAGCTCCAACTCGGGAGCACGGAATAACCCCTCGCGGCTGGGTAAATCGGAAATGCCCTTGTAGCCGGGGAAAAGACACAAGGAACGGAGGGACCACGGCATGGACTCTGGGCACGGAGAAGGATGCTGTCAATGAGGGTTGGAACTTGGGAGCGCCGGAGCCAACGCAGGTCGCGGGGTCTGCGGCCAACAGCTCACAGGCAGCGAGGCCGACAAAACTACCAACAAGGCCAGCATCAGCCACAGCGGGCTCGCTGCATCGCGAGTCGTGTCGCACGCGCATTCGGCATATCCCAAAAATAACCCGACAGAAAAGTAGCCGCATGCGGGGCAGTGTTGCGCAACTCGCCCGCGCGCAATCCAGGCCGACCCCGCAAATATATCTCCACGCGTACCAACAGCTCTGATGCTGGATCCTTCGCTCTCAAATGATCGAGTTGTTGTCTCTCAAAATAGTTTTGGTGTGGTGCAACTGAGGGGTGACTGGGGAAAGTGGGATGGGACGCTCGGACCACACTGACGAGGTTCCTGTAGCCAAGTGGCGAGATGCTCATTCATCAATGGCTGGATGGCCGAGTGGTCTAAGGCGGCAGACTCAAGATCATCTTCCCCGAAAACCGGGGTGTATTCTGTTCTCGTAAGAGGCGCGCGTTCGAATCGCGCTCCAGTCAATTCCTTTTGCTTTTTTCAGCTCTGTTTTACATTTTGTGCGAGCGACTGGGACGGTCATGAGACATTCCTGGTACCTACCTGGTAGACTAGAGAATGGAGAGAAAAAGAAAAAATCTCGCCTCAAAGCTTTGCCTGCGCCGCCCTCCCCCCTTCTCTCCCCGGCTTGGCGTCTTCCGTGCTCCTTCCCCCTACTCGACCTCGCCATTCACGTCGCCCTCGGCCTTTCCCTCGACCTTTCCCTCGACCTTTCCCTCGACCTCCCTGTTGCCCTTGCTATTGCTATCGCCGTTGCCCTTCGGATCTGTCAGGAAATCAGCTGCTGGAATGGCATCCGAGACGTGGGGTGTTTTATGCATTAGGGCCTGGGACCCAAGGCGGCAGACATCGCCGATTTACAGGATTTCGTGCCTTGAGAATAAGAGATTTGTTCTTGGACTCCCACATTATATCAGAGGCCGCTACTCGGACTCGTCCCAGGTCTCCAAGAGCACCGTCGTAGACGCAATCGCCAATGAAACACTATGTCCTCAAGTTTCAGGGGCTCGGTTTCTCTACGCCGGATAGGACCCATCTTGGTAAGCAACCCCCCTTCCTCGGGCGCGCCTTGGTGGTGGATGATGGACAGACTCTTGTTATATTTCTCTAGACGTGGTTGTTGCTGGCATGATCAAGTCGGGATTAGTGACGCTGGCCCTAGTGCGCGACGAGAAGCTGTGGATAACACATGACGTTGTGTGCCGCATGACCACTGCTATCCTGCACGACGCTCTCGCCAACGGGCCACTATGCTGGGACGTCGTGGTCCAGCGATGCCTGGCCTTGTCTTTGATGGTAGCTCTTCATAGCCGATCCGGGGAAATTATCCGATCGGCAGGTGTACCTGGAGCCTGCCGAGGCTTTTGCTTGTCCAGGCCCTGCGCAAAGGCGGAGAGCTCATCGGGTTGCTCCATAAGCCCGTCCCCCATGACATCCGACGGGGCGCGGCCGCCGATATGGATCATGTCGGCCGAGGCGGCAGCCGAGCGCGCCTTGAACCACAGCAAAGCCCTACAAGCGTCCACGGTTCACGTCAGAGCAGGCCACCGCCGCGTGCATCTCGAGGGGCCTCAGACCAGATGTTGGCGCCACGGAGGCGGCCCCGGCAGCGGCCACGACGCAAGCCCTCCCTTCTTTTCCCGCCGCTACCACCACTCCACTGCGGGCCAGGGATGTGACAGCTGGCGGCCATAATGACGACGACGATGGCGACGACGACCAAATCCCCGTCGACCCCGATCTGGTGCCCGTACACTGCCTCGTACAGCACCCCTATCGGACAGCATTCCAAGGCGTGCAAGTTTACCTCGGCCTAGGCTGTGTTAGATGCTGCCTCCATCTGCAAGACATGCGGGAAACGCTTTGCCAGCAGGGACTCCCTATACGAGCATCTCTTTTCTCTCCTCCTCTTTTGTTGGGTAAACATGCCGTTGCCAAGGCAACTCACCGAGATACCACTGCTGGCAGGAATCATGCCGTGATGTGCATCCCACAGTGCATTCCAGTTCCAGGGCAGCTCCGGAACCATCGGAGCCGGTTTGCTGATAACTAGCCTGTGTCGTATGAATGAAACGACCTGCAGCTCGAAATGCAGAGTCGCAATGGGGTCCCAGCTAGCGGCGGTCTAATGCAAGGTCATTTGGGAGAAACAGCGCAGATGGACAGCATCCAAGCAGGATCCTCGCCCTTCTTCGATGTTTGAGCCAAGGACGAATGGCATTTCCAACCGAGTTGCAGTTGAACTCTGCCCAGCCTCCTCTGCTTCTTAGTCCAGCAGCATGGCATGCCTGTCTTGTGGAGCAAATGCAGCTTGGGGGTCATTCGTGTAAGATGATTGGCCAGTGTCGAGACACCAACACGGCAGCCAGCTGCAGCTCGACCTGAGACCTGCAGCCCAAGCGCGCCAGAACTTGTCTCGACTCGGCCGGTGCCGGGGGGGGTCTGCTTTTCTGACAGGTTTCACAGCCGCCTGCCTCCAATTCAATCACCTTCCCCTCTTCAGTCTTAACCCTCGGCCGGCGCCACCACCAAAGACAGGACACTCGCGACAATCAACTCGGCACCGCAAACCACATCTCTTCCCGTCCACACCTCACCCACCCACAGCAACCATGTCCGCCCAGGCCGCCCCCAGCGACGAGCCCACCACGCTCAGCACGCAGTACGACACCCCGCTGGGCCTCGCCCACACTACCATGCAGGCCCTCAAGGACCGCATCAAACTGCACTACGACCTGGCCAGTGACTACTACTTGAATCTCTGGTTGGCAACCCCCCCCCCTTTTCTTCAACTCTCCCTCCCCGCTTTCCATCATTCGGTACACTGACCCTCTCCCCAGGGGCGAGCACATCCACCACGGCTACTGGCCGACCCCCGCCTCCAAGGCCTCCGAGAGCAAAGAAACCGCCCAGCTCAACCTGATCCACCTGCTCCTCGACATTGCCAACCTCTCTCCCCCATCCACCGCGGGGGCGCCTGCCACCTCGCAGCCATTGCGCATCCTCGACGTCGGATGCGGCATAGGCGGCACCTCCCGCTACCTGGCGACCGCCCTCGGCGCGGCCGTGCATGGTATTACCATCTCGGGGAAGCAGGTGCTGATTGCCGAGCGGTTGAGTCGATCCGCGGCTGCGGCCCCTAACTCTACCACCACCGAGGCAACCCCCGCAGATGAACCCTCCCCGGTGATCCCCCTTGGCCTGAAAGGGGGGAGCGTGCGCTTCACGGAGTTGGACGCTGAGAAGATGGGGTCTTATTTCTCTTCTTCCTCCTCTTCCTCCGGGGGTGGAGAAGGAGGAGAGGGGGAAGGGTTCGACGTGGTCTGGATCAGCGAGGCACTCTCGCACTTCCCGGACAAGGCGCTTTTCTTCCGGAACGCGCAGGCCCTGCTGAGAAAGGGGGGGAAGCTGGTGCTGGCGGATTGGTTCAAGGCAGAGGGGCTGGGGGAGGGGGAGTTTGCGGCGGATGTTAAGCCTATTGAGGGTTTGTCTTCCTTTTCTTTTGTCTTTTCTTGGGGATTTGGGCGGGGAAAAGGGGGGTGCGTGTGTTGGTAGCTGACTGGAAACAGACGGGATGCTCCTCCCGCCGCTGCGCACGCAGCAGGAATATGTCGACATGGCCACGGCCGCCGGGCTGGGCGTGCTCAGTGCCCCCAAGGATATCAGCGCCGATGTCAGCAAGACGTGGTATGTCCATTCGATCCTGGGCATCGATGAGCGTGGCAATATCCACTAACCCACCGCCGCAGGGACATCTCGTGGTCGCTGGTGCAGAACCCCTCGCTATGGGCTTTCGCCTTCAGCCAGGGCCGTGACGGCATTGCCTTCCTCCAAGCTTTCCGCGCCATGAGGAGGGGCTATGCCAACGGGAGCTTCCGATATGCTGTCATGTCGTTTGTTAAGGAGTAGTTATGAGCTATGAAGAGTGTGATTGGGATGGGGATGGACCGGTGGTTGTGGAAATAGATTCTTCATTGCGAGGCAGACGAAAGAGCAACAGCTCGCCCCTTGCCCTGGCCTCGGTCAAGGAACCCATTTATTCGAAGTCCTTGTGCTCGAGCCATTCAGGCACAACCCGGCCTGTACGGCGTAAAGTTCCAGTCCTTCCCAAACGCCTAACAGCCCAACCAACCCAACCAACCACCAGCGCCCTGTCGTGATCAATGCGGGGTATTGTAGAGGATTACAAAATTTAAACACAAACCGTCGCCCGTCGACACCCACCGGCTAGACCCCTCAAATCAGCAACTTCCGGTTGACAGGCGCGACCACCGGTTTCCCGTCTACCGTCTCCTTCTTCCTGGAGAAGGCGGCTTTGCCGAGCGCCTGGATCTTGCTGAGGAGGTGGCTGTTCCAAGTTAGCACCCATGTCGTCCAAGTCTTTGCTTGGGAATATCGAGGTATGTAATGAGAGTGTTTCGCAGTGGCCAGCATGCCGGATCATGGACAGGATCCAGTGTATGCATGGCTTCACGCTACCCCTCCGTCGAGTCGTGCAGGTGGATGATCAAGAGAATAGGAGGAAAGAAGGCGTACTTGATGGGCATGTGCCCGCGGCTCTCCTTGAGCGCCAGGTTGATCTTGGCGGCCTGCTCCTTGTGGTCCCGGAAGTGAGCCTCGACCAGCTCCTGCGCCTCCTTCTCGCGCGCCGCCCTGACGACGTAGGTGCAGCCTTCCTGGTCACAGGTCCATGTCCCGTCGGGCCCCTTTGGAGATGTCGTCGGGAGCCTCTCGGCAACCACGACCACACGCACGGCGCCCTCGGGTACCGGCAGGCCAGGATCCGGGGCCGGTTCTCCGCCCACCGCGGCTTCGTCGTCGCTCGCTTCGTCGATATCTTCCATATCATCGTCCTGGTCGCTAACCGGCTGGCTAAACTTGGCGGACTTCCTGCCCCGGCCGCCAACGGTGGGTTGATCATCGAGATCCGCGAGCGGGCGTTTCTTGGTCGAGATGGGGCGCAGGCCTGCGTTTTTGCCGGACTTGCGGCCGCGCATTGGAGGCGCCACGCCCAATGCCCCGATACCGTCGTCTGAGTCGTCATCGCTCTCGTCCTGGGCTGGCTTCTTGAGCCTCGATTTCAGCGATATGGTCGGGGGGACCTGTGCGGCCGGCGTGTTCGAGGGGGTCGGTTTCGTCGTCTTGGCCCGCCGCAAAGTCTGTGATGGAATGTCATCGGCCGTGAGCGTCTCGGTCGGGGTCCATGGCTGCTTCGCGACACCGACCAGCCATGTATGCCACCGGCCACCCTTCCACTCCGGGCCAAGCAGCGGTAGCAGGTCCTTCGCATAATACGCGAGGATGGCTTTGGCGTCGCCGTAGTGGCGGATTTTGCACCCAAAGAACACCTTGGAATGGATTAAAGAGGGCGCTGCCTTTTTCACGTCGTTGGCGCCCGCGATTTTTTGCAGAACCCCCAACAAGCGGTTGACAGGCGACTCTGATTCGGCATCTGCGACGGACA